GGGACTTGCTGGAGGCCGAGAGCCCGCGCGGCTCCGACGCCGAGGAGGAGGACGGGGAGGAGTGCGGCGCGGCGCGCGCCCTGCCCGCCGTGGGACGGCACTGCCGCCACCGGCGCCTCACGGGCGACTCGGGCATCGAGGTCGGGCGCTGCCACGAGGAGGAGGGCGCCGAGGAGGGCGCCCAGCTGCTGGGCAAGGAAGCCGGCGGCTCCCGCGAGTGCTGCAGGGAGGCGGGCGCCGAGGAGCCGGGCTCGCCCGCACTGCCCGTGTGAGCGCCGTGCCCGCCGCACCGGCCCCGCGCGCCCCTCGTGCCGCCCCGAGCACGGGAGGAGCAGGGCTGCCCGTGTCGCTGTCCCCCGGGGCGGGCACTGGTGGCACAGGCGAGCCCTGGCGCTCGGTGGCCCCTGCCACGTCATGGACTCGGTGGCTGTGGAACCCGCCCCGTGGCCACCCCAATGTCACCGGGCCTGCGTGTCCGCGGCTGCGCTCTGCCCCGGCCGGGCCCTGGGACACGCTGCTGCCCGGGGCGCTGTCCCCCAGCGTCCCGGCCCCTTGTGGGGGCTCCTGGCCTGTGCGCCCCCCCGGGGTGCCTGAGGCCCGTTGCGCTGTTGGCATTAAAGAGCTGTGGAGTGAGCCCTGTGTCCTGCTTGCGGCCATGGGCAGCCCAGAGGGAGCAGGTCCCCGTGCGGCCACCGCGGCTCCCCCTGCGCTGCAGCCTCCCCGTGCCGCCGGCGCCGCGGACCCACGCAGCAGCACCAAAGCAGCCCCGTTTATTGCAGCCCCGCGCGCTAGTACTGCTCGGCCATGGCGAGCACGACGAGCGCGGACCAGCCCGTGAAGGGGTGGCTGCCCTGGCCGCGGCCCGTGCTGTCGCTGTAGTGCTCCCACAGGTAGCCGCTGTCGCGGTACTGCCGGAACAGGTTGCCCACGAGGTTGTCGCGCAGCTCGGCGTAGAGGCGGGCGGCGCGCGCGCGCTGCGGCCCGGCCTGCGCCGCGTAGTGCTGCAGCGCGCGCAGCGCCAGGTAGTTGACGTTCACCCAGACGGGCCCGCGCCAGTACGGCGGGTCGTGCTCCGTGTTGCGCTGCATGTAGAGCGGGCTGGCGCGCGACAGCGAGCGCAGCCCGAACGGCGTCCACAGGTGCTGCTCGCTGCGCAGCGCGTCCAGCAGCAGCGGCAGCCGCGGCGAGTCGGGCTGCAGCAGCTGCAGCAGCAGCGGGAAGAGGCTCACGTAGCCCAGCGCGTCCACGAACTGCGGCCGCGGCGCCCGCCGCACCACGCGCACCAGCTGTGGCGGCGCCGCCGGGTCGGCGCGCGCCGGGCGCCGCTCCAGCGCCACGGCCTCGCTGTGGTTGCCGTAGTCGGCGAAGGCGCCGAGGCGCTCGGCCCAGTGCAGGCGCTCGAGCAGCGCGTTGTCGCCGAGCTGCCGCTGCGTGTGGCGGTACGGCTCGGCCGGCTCGCCCAGCCGCTCGGCCACGTCGCCCATGACGCGCGCGGCCAGCGCCATCCAGCAGCGCAGGTCCAGGTGCCGCTCGTCGGCCGAGGGGTGCGAGGCGCGCGGGTAGTCGTCCAGCCCCGACGGCAGCGTCTTGGGGTTGAGCAGGCGCTCGTGCGGCGCGTCGCGCCCGCGCCACCGGAACGCCGTGGGCAGCGCGCCCGCCTGCGTGCTGTTGAGCCAGTGGAACCAGGCGCGCAGGCGCGGGTAGAGGCGCTGCAGGTAGGGCAGCGGCGCCGCGTCCGCCGCCAGCAGCTGCTGCAGCGCCAGGAAGAGCGTGGGCGGGTTGGCGCTGCCGCTGCGCTGCACCACGAACTCGGGCGGCACGCGGGCGCGCGCCTCCTCGCCCAGGATCTGCTCGCGCGGGATCCAGCCCTCGGCCGTCATGAGGTCCAGCCAGTGCGCCAGCACGTCGCGGCTCAGCGCCGCGTCCCAGCGCGCCACCAGCAGCTGGTGGAAGCCCTCGTCCCAGAGGAAGCCGCGCGGGAAGAAGGAGCGGGAGGGCACGGCCGTGAGGAGCTCGGCCTCGGCCGACAGCACGGGCTCCTCCGCGTGCTCCGCCTGCAGCACCGAGCGCCCGTGGAAGTAGCCCACGCCGCCCAGCAGGTTGCTGAGCGCGGCCTGCGCGAAGCGCTGCTGCGCCGGCGCGAAGCCCTTGCGCGCCAGCCCGAAGGTGTCCTCGAAGCGGCGCTCGAAGGCGGCGGCGTGCGCGGCCAGCTCGGCGCTGAGCGC